ATAACTTTGGAAATCGTATTCACGATGCGCTTGAACTCTTACGGACTCCACGTTCACCAGAAACATATAAATATGGTTGGGATTTGTTGCGCATCGTGGGTATTTTTTTTTCTTTTCGTTTCCGTTTATTCTTGATTTGCTCACTTCTTCGTGCTTTGTCTCTATGAAAGGTGCATAAGCATTTGACGAAGGAAATACAATCCAGTCGCACTTTGAAGCTGACGGACATAAGCCCATTTTTGAGTGCGATTAATTCATCTCAGATAGCTATGCCCGGCCTGCCATCACATCATGATTCAGTGACCATTCAGTCATTTGATGACGCAGTTGTTATTTTGCCTACCAAAACTAAGCCCAAAAAGTTGATTCTTCGTGGTTCAGATGGAAAACAGTATGTGTATCTTTTCAAAGGACTGGAAGATCTTCATCTAGATGAGAGAATAATGCAACTATTGCAGATTACTAATGATCTATTCAAGAGAGAGAAAAAGTCGCGTCAACGTAATTTGCGGGCACGGAATTATGCAGTCATTCCTTTGGGAGATCATTCGGGAATGATTCAATGGGTCGAAAATGCTACACAAATGTTTATACTTTACAAGAAGTGGCAGCATCGTGAACATTTCGCCAACATATTGCAAAATAGCAATGAATCATCGACCAATCCACAACGACCTAGTGACATGTTTTTTGAAAAAATTGGGAAAGCTTTGAAGAAAGAAGGGTGGGCGGCCACAACTTCAAGGCGCAATTGGCCCCACGTCGTCCTGAAATCTGTATTTCTTGAATTATCATCAGAAACTCCATCTGATTTATTGGAAAAAGAAATTTGGTCTTCTTGCGCGAGTCCAACGGATTGGTGGGTAAAGTCGACATCATTGTCACGTTCCTTGGCCGTCATGTCTGTTATAGGTTATATCATTGGACTGGGGGATCGCCATCTGGACAATATCATGATAGATTTCGATAACGGAGAGGTTGTTCACATTGATTATAATGTTTGTTTTGAGAAGGGAAAAAAATTGAAGGTTCCTGAAACAGTACCTTTTCGTCTTACGCAAAATATCGAGACGGCTCTCGGTGTTACGGGAATCGAGGGAGTCTTTCGGATTGCTTGCGAAATCGTTCTTGGTGTATTGAGGAAAAATAAAGAAATCTTGATTACATTATTGGAAGCCTTTGTCTATGATCCGCTAGTAGATTGGCATCAAGACTCATTCGAGGATCGTAATAAACAAATGATGGAGTTTGAAGAGAATTTGGGGCTGTTGGCTTCGAGAATTGGTAAAAAGATAACGATTTTCTCGTGAGTTTTATTTTAGTTTGTAGTGACTTTTAATCATGGCGTTTTTTATTCTCTATAAAGCCGAACTAAGAGCTCCTATTGAGAACAATCAAAAACGATTTTTAAGTTTATTAACGGAGTCCACAGCAGCTTTTGAGCATGCATGGGATCATCATGTTAAAGTACGTAATAAGCAAACCGAAATTCCAGAACAAGCGGGTTCCGATCACAATGTTGACAATTTGAAACCGACCAATATTCAAAATGAGTTGGAATTAGACAATCTTAAATCTGCTCTTTCTCAGAGAGCTAGTGAATGTGCATTATGGCATGCACAACACGAAAAAACAATACAATCTATTCAGGTATATTTTTTAGATTACCCTGTAATTTTAAAATCTTTAATCTTATAATGAAGTTTGTTTTATTTTTTTCAGGGACCATTACTTCAAGTTATATACAATGAAGTTTTTTCTTCAAGTTCTCAGATTGGAGCGTCCATTTTTACCCCTTATTTGCAGATTCTGACCACAAATGAATTCATCATCCAACGTTGTAGTAAAATTGATCAAGATTTCATGGGATGGATGAACGAGCGGAACACGACCTTCAAAAATTGTCTTGAACGATTGCAATTTTACCGTGCCTTAACAATTCCAGTAACTCAGGTCTTATTGGCGCAAGATTACTATGTGAAATGGCCACCCGTTTTAATTACATTGTTAGAATCCTCATTTTCAAAAGAGGACTTTCAAGCAGTATACCTAACACCGAATTTTTCAAATACTTTCAACAGCGAGTTCAGTCTAATTCGAGAAAACCTTAAGATAGTCTATTCATCTATCCTACAGGAAAGTGCTTCTCTGGCAGAGGCTTTAACTATCACTACAAAAAACACAATAATGAGTGATTCTGCTTTGCACGTTATGCTCAATAATATCCTTAATGAGATCGGAGCGAAAGGTTTAAATGCTCAATATCTTTATTCAACAAGCGTATTGTCTTCATTATCTGAACTTGGTCAAAGTCTTACGGAATCGGAAGATCCATCGGAGATTTACAATAAAATTGGACTCGATGTTGATTTCCAATTTGCCGTCAAAGGAGCATTGTCCAATGAAATCTTGGCCAAGACTTCATTTTTGAAATTTGTGGGAGCCTCGTTCTCTTTATATCATCATGTTAATATGGCAAATAGTAAGTTTGCACGAAAAAATTTTTTTCTTTTTATGTGATCAAAGTTAACAACCTTTTTGATTCTAAATTCCTTTCCAGTGCAGATCATGAGCGACGAAGTTCTTCATCGAATCACTGCGATGACAACGGAACTTTTACAAAATATTCGCATTATTCTTAGCTTGCAACATCATTTTGAAAACATAGTTCTTCCAAAGATATTTCTTTTGATCTACAGTTATCCGCCTCCCACAATACATTTTATTTCTGCTTTACATGAATTGGCCGCTAAAACAGACAATTATTGGAATGCAAATCATTCCGAAGCGTATTCCATCGTGGAATCCATGGTAGGTTAATTTAAATGGCTAACAAAACATAATTTTAACTCGAGGTAAATTTCTATAACCGTTCAACCTTACAGAACCATTCACTCGCGCAAATTCGTGGAGCCATTTATAACGAAGGCTCCTCGCAAGGCGTTTCCCTGCTTATGAATGAGTTTGATGAGTTGTTCGGAGAATTAAAAGATACAATTCTAAAGATTCAAGTAAAATTTTTTACTTCGTCTGTAATTTATTAGCTTATTCGTATCACACTAATTATTTATCATGTTTTTCAATAGGCATTGTTTAAAGATTTGAATCCGTCGCAAGATGACAATAATTATTTTAATAGTGGACGTGTGTTGAATGATCTTACAGCACATAAACTCGACGTAAGGTCTTACGTGACACATTTGTTGTTTATCACAATGCACTTTAAAATTTAATATTATACCTATGAATCAAAGGTCATCTCCTGTGTCCTGATAGCATGTTACGAATATTATGAAAAAAATCAGCAACCTAATCAGAACACGACCTGGACGTCCTCGATAGCAACCGCGGATAACTTTAAAGAAAGTTCTGATTCGCTCCAAAAGCTTTTGCAAGTTGTTCATTGGAGTACTACCGAAATTTTCATTCCCAGTGTGAAGTTTCTTTACGGTATTTCCATCAGTCGATTAGAATCGCTGGTCAACATCTCTATAGGAAACAGTGTCTATGAGGATGTTTTGTCTCTTATCTCGAACATGATTGCGAAGGGATTGTTTTCTGCTGAAGAGATGCGGGCTCAAAAACTTAACGTCCAGAATTATTGTTTGCACGGGAGTAAAATGAATTACGTAGCGATGGTATGTGGGACTATATTACACAAAGATTGGAATGAATAAGATATCTTGAAAACTCAACATTTTTACAAATATTTAGATCAATCTACGTAAAGCACAAGTTGAAATGGAACTTCAACATCGTCAAATGGAAATCATAAGTTTCGAATGGATAAATGAACCATTGATTGGAGAGAGTAACTTAATTCGACATCAGGTAAAGTTGGAATGCACGTTTCTGTCCCTATTTTCGATCTGCTCGATTTCGACATCCTTTTTAAATTGTCAATAATAGTTTTTGCAGAACTTGTCACAAGACGTCAATCGGTTCGCCATATTAGAAAACCTCCTTCAAGAATTGTCAGCTCAGTATAGAACAATCGATACCGAAGTGGAAAATTTCTTGGCAACTCATTTGATCGCCGAAAACGCTGAAGTTTTGCATTCTTTCGGTGAAGCAGTCGCTAATCAAAAAATGATTTTTGCTCAGGAATTCGAAAGGGTAAGCAAGCAGCAATTTTCGTTTATCCATATAATAAGAAGTAATAATTATTCAATCTTGTTTCTTGATGTTTAGATAAAACACGTTGTGAGTTTATGCAACTCGATACTGCACCTGGAAACATTCCGTACCGCAACCGACAAAACTTCAGCAATGGATGCCGATACTCTTCATCTGATTAAGAGACTTGAATCAGCAATTTTTGGGTAAAGTTTG